ACCCTGGAAAGTGTCACTGTTAGAATGAACACAAATGAATAATGTTTGCCAACAATTTTAGTTAACTTTAATTGAATTAATTCCTCTTTAGTCGTTATAGGTTAAATATCCCTACAACAAACGCCTGTCAATTTTTTTTGGGGGGGGGGGGAGGCAAATGTTGCCAAAAATAAGTGACCCATAATGGTGACAGAGAAATCTCTGATATATGGGAACTTTAGTAATTTATAATAAGTCCAATGCAACACAATTTGCTCTCACCACCTATAATTTATGATAAGAATTTGGCAATAATACACTGAAAAGAAGCTTACACTTCCTTCATGTTAATAAGTGTCTAAAATTTCAAAAGGTAGTTATTATAATTTTCCTTGTTTTTGAATACCAAGTGTTATCATAACATTGCAAATTGGGCTAACCAATTCTCTCACTTCTCCCACAGCTGTCCTTATCCACCTATCCCTATAATTGAAAACTCAGTGAATTTGTCACTTTAAGTCATTTCAAATTCTACACGAGATATAGCAATAAAAAAGGGCAAAAATTCATGTGGCCAAGAGTTAGACTAAACCATATAAGAAACTACATTCACCTCCTACATGCTAATGCTCATAACCCATGTGTATAAAATGTGAACACTTCACACTTTTTAAATTACTTCATTTATAAAATGGTCAAGTTCAGGTCATATTTCTGGGTGATTTTTTTCTAATAGTCTTGAACAAAGCACCTATTTATATGCAATGTGATTGTGGGTAAATATTATATCTTAATTTTGTGTTACATGAACAAAGCTATAGTCTCTAGACTGCCTTATAGTCTCAACACATTTAGCATATGTTCGAAACAGATCCCAACTATAAGAATCCCAACTCTGAATAACCATATAAAGCACATTAAATGAAAGTAAAAACTAGCTGAAAAGTGGATTTTGAGAACAAAGAACTTGAATTTAGCTTTGAGTTTCCAAAGGAAGTAACAGTAACAACAATGATAATAGTTATATAATAATTCATGTACAACACTTTACTATGTGCCAGATACTGTTTTAAGCACTAGCCATAAATTAAAATCACCCTTGAGATACATAACTGCTAATGAAGACTGTGCTTTTATTCCTTCATTAAAGCTTTTTAAAAATATATTTATTTTTTTAGAGAGAGGGAAAGGGAGAGAGAAAGAGAGGGAGAGAAATATCAATCGCCCCTAACTGGGGACCTGGTTCACAATCCAGGCATGTGCCCTGACTGGGAATTAAACTGGCAACCTTTTTGGTTTGCAGGCCAGTTGTCATTCCACTGAGCCACACCAGACAGGGCGTTTTTTTGTTTGCTTTCTAACATGAACCACATTTTTTAATGTTTGATAGAAAGGTGAAGAGAAAGCAAAAATAGATGAAAATTATTCCACAGCTTTATATTCAAAACACATCAGAATTAACTAGCCTGTTATTCACAGATAATATTCTACCATATTAACTTACATTGAAATGGTAGGAAGTCAATTCCTGCAGTGAGTTCTTTCTATCCTCCTTTTAAATAGCTCAGTAAATTATGTCCCTAAATTATCCTGAGGACCAACAATTTTTACAGGAAAATAAATTAAACTGTTGAAACTTTGCATTAATATTAATCCAACAACAAAATAAAAATATATTTGTAAAGTGCTTTAAAGTTCCAAAGTGCTTCTACATACATTCTTGTGTTTCAACCTAAGCTCCAACTTCTCTGTGAAACACAGCCTGCTTGCTGTAGTCATTCAATAAAAGTAAAGTTAGGAATTTCCTCAATGAACAATATATTTAGAGAACATTAAATCTTTAAAATAGCTACAAAGTCATGTGAAGTTATTTATAAATCAGTAACCTATGCTAAAATAATGATAATTGAATCTATATAATCCTTGGGAAGTCAGGATTTACTTAAGAAGATTTCAATAATTTTAATCCTTACTGAAACAGAAAACTATTGGAAAATATAGATAAACCTCTATGAAAACTTGATCTTTCCAAAATACCACAGGGACACAGGTAGCTATGGAACACCTACACCAGTATCATAAAGGGTGTCTTCAGCAGTTAGGCTCAAACAATAACTTGAGACCAATTTTCAGATGTACTTTAGAGAATAAAATAGATCTGTTCCTGAAAAGCTGATTATGATTTAAATTCTTGAAAATAGAATTTATACTTCAAATGCATGGCTTGTGTAATAGGGATGATCATGTTTGTGCATGTGCATGGAGAGGGGCTCAAATTTAAAGGACATCTGAATGGAATCCTCTGGCAAGCCAAAGCATCCTTTTGTCCTTTTAATGATCACTCCTTAATGTGTCTGTGCTGCAAATGTGAGTATTTGTATGGCAAATTCTCTAAAGTAGGGGGAGAAGGGGTGGGGGTGTTACACCTGAACTAAATAGGAAGCTTGTTAGGTGTCTGTTGTGATCAGTCCGTGACTTGTTCTGCCTGATTAAGCACAGTGGGCCAATCACAAAAGAGATCCAATCACAAAAGCATTCCAGAAAGCAAGCAAAGCAAAAACATTCACTAAACTGACTACTGGAATGAAAACTGCTGCAGTTCACCCCTTTCCTTCATTGGGAAAGCACATTCCACTAAAGAGGGAAGGCACTTGAGACTATAGAGACATCACCTTCTGAAATCATTTCTTCAGAATGTCTCCAGACACACTGATAACAACCTTGCACAATGTACACAGATTTACTCAAAGTCTTATTTTCAACTCTAACAGTTCCTACTCTTCCTTATTTCTTCCTTAGGAAAAGTAACCCTTTTAAAAATCTTCACTGTTGCCAGGTAGGCTGCCCTTAAGGTCAGGTCTTCCTCTAGCCTTATTATCTTGCTTTCCTGGATTTCCCAAAAGACACACCAATTAAATGTTTTAAACACTTTTTAAACCTTTGAAATAATATTCATACCCATTATAAACTTTCACTGTATCCTTTGGGGAGAGTTACACGAAGAAAAAAAAAAGCACAGAGAAGGTGACTTGCCTGTCAGTAATAGAGGCAATTTGTTCTCTGTGTAAAAACAAAACAAATCAACACAAAAACACATTCTGGAGCCAAATATGTTCTTCTCTTAATCACTTGTTGTTTTGAATTATTTATGCTTTGTGCTCCCCAGACATTTATGGTAACAACTGAGATTTAATCTTCTTGGTAAATCATAGTAAACTAGCATAAGGATGACTGCTTTTTAAAAAGTAACTTTCAGGGAAGAAAGTCATTCTCTCCTAAATGCTAACAGTTGATTATTACTCCTCAATATTCTGTGTTCCTATTAAAACTCCTGCAATTAACTACGGGTATTTGTAGAAAAACACCTTTTACTTGTTGATTTGAAAATGAGTTCATGAGATTCAGTTCAAGGTGTCCTGTTTGCATAAATCCTTAAGCGTAGGGGAAGGATGTTTGAAAGCATCACAAGTGATAATCGGTACTTTCCAGATAAAGAAACAATGATTGGATTAAACTTAAGTTTTTCTGTAAACATCAGAGAGTATTACATGCATAATTAAAACTGAATTCTATTTTCCATGCTAAATAGGCATCAGCTAATGAAATATTAACTCACTTTTCCTTAACACCGTAGACATAGTAGCGCATTGATTCATTAAGCAATAACCATCAACTTTAGGGAAATTCATTCTAAAATTACAAACCTCTTTGGGGAGAGTCGAACTACTTGTCCTCAGGTCTGGCAAAGTCATTTCTCAAGTAAGTGTTGTTGTCATCAGAATCTTCTCTTTCTGGGGGTCTCGGCACTCCACGGCGAGGTGGTGGGGTGCGAGCCGCAGCTGCGGCCATAGCCCCACCAGCCTCATTCTCACCTCCAGCAAGATCTGCAGCAGGGTTTGGGGCTCTAGGGTTCGAGCCACCGGCAGCAACCTGGGCACCCCTTACAGCTTCAGCACTAGCAGCATTAGCAACAGGTTGGAACCAGCGGACGCAAGCAAAGTTAAATCCAGCAGCAGCCTCAAAGCCTGCAGCGGCTGCGCCTAAACCCGGAGCTGCAGCTAGGGCGGAGGCGGTGGCTAAAGCACGGCCCACAGCTAAGGTTGGCTCAAGGACCACAGTGGGGGCCAAGGCTAAAGAGGCGTACAGGTCTCTCTCCAGGCACTCTGTTGGGAAAGCCGAGACAGCAGCTCTGGCGGAAGTAAAGAAAGTTTGCGAACAGCTTTGTGGGTGCCTTCTCTCTAGCTTTTCTTCCTGCAGTAGCCTAGCTACAGTTGGTAGTTCGGAGCAGTGGCTAGAGAAGAGAGAAATGTCCATACAGCACTCAGAAAATGGGTCGACCACATAGATTCGACCTGTTTCGGCATCATAGCAAATGGCATGCTCAGCAAAAGGCAAGGCTGGTGTCATTGCTGGGTTGAACATAACTTCAATGTACTCACACACTTCCTCATTAGCACTGCTACCTGTAGCACTGGTAAAAAGAGGCAAAAGTGGCCACCTAGCACCGTCCAGAGAGAAGCGGTTGGCACCTGGAATAGCTCGTAAAATATTTGAGAGGACATTTGCTGGATTTCGAAATGGCACTCTGAACTCATTATTCATGTAATGAGAAAAGGCTGACTGTCTGGGGTTAGCAATTATGCCCCATGAATGTGGAAGTCCTTGAGTAAAAGGGACTGGCATATTGCTACTTCTTTTAGTGAAGTCAGTGTTGACACAGCCACTAGAGTTGTCAGCCTCTCTCTGCTCATGTGTGGGCTTTTGTGGTTTTGGCTTGACTTTATTTCCTTTTGTAATAAAAGAAAGTCGGTTAGGTCTCTTAACCTTGTCCTTGGGGGACCCATCATCTGAAGACTTTGAAGATGACCCCCAATCTCCAGGCTTTGAGAATGACTGAAGGGCAGCTTCAAAGCCTTCAATGGAAGGCTTTGAAGTTACATATTTGGGGCCCCTGATAGATGATGCTTCTTTATCTAGGCCTTTCCCCAGAAGTTTTCCAGATAACACTGGCACATACTCACCGTGGTCACTCTGTTCCAACAGGGAGCCATGAAAAGGATTTGGCAGAGAGAAGCAGGAGCTCCAACTTTTGGAGGAAAAGTCTCCCTCAGGATTTCTGGGGTTTTTGAGAATTTCAACGGCTCCAGGAGCCATAAACATGTAATCACTGTCACTCTCATTGTCCTTAGAGTCACCCTCTTTATCAGGATCAGGTGTTTTTGGAGGACGTGAGGCAGGTGGTGGGATTACTCTGGGAAACATCATCATGTACCCTCTTGAATCTTCAAAAGAGGGTTGAGACTGGCACTTTCTTGAAGTAAAAACATTTTGAGGAGCCATTGGCATATAATCACTAAAGCTTTCAAGAGGGGCAGCCACCCCAGGCCTCATTGGCACATACGGGTCTTCCTCATCTTCAACAGAAGTTCTGGCTCTCTGGGGGCCACAAGCTGCACCTTCTGGAGTCTCTGCATATTTGACTTCTTTGGCTACTTTGCGTTCTTTTGCAACTGCTCTGTCAGTACAAGAGTAAACTTGGAATCTTCCCCCAGATTTCCCTTTTCCACCAGTTGCTCCAGATGGCTGGGATGGAGATGGAGGTGGAGGTGGTGGAGGTGGTGGCATTTGCTGTTGCTTGTTTTGAATAATTTTGCCCAAATAAGATAGTTTCTTCAGAGATTTTTTACATTCAACATTGCCATCAGAGCCTTTCCCACTTCCTGAGCTTTTGCCCCCTCCAGACTTCATGCCACCACCTGATCCATGGCCATCTCCTGGTCCCTGGCCACTGCCTGAGCCATGCCCACCACTGGCTCCCTGGCCACTGCCTGAACTGTGCCCACCTGTGGGGCCTTGGCCATCTCCTGAGCACTGGTTTCCTCCTGTACCCTGGCCCCCTGAGCCTTTGCTACTTGAAATTTGACTACCACCTGAGCCCTGGCCACCTCCAGAGCCCTGCCCCCTGCCTAAGCACTGGTTTCCTCCTGACCCCTGGCCAACTCTTGAGCCCCAGTTGCTCATGGGCATGTAGTTGCCTGTGTTTCCTTCCTGACCCTCTTGGCCTTGAGGATTGCCTTTTCCCACAGAACTGCCAGAACCAGAACCAGATGCTTTAGAAAACAGGCAAGCTCTGTCGCTGGGGGCTTCTGTGGGCTGCAGGGCAAGCACGGGACTGGGTGATAGGGGCCAAAAAAACCTGGCTGGCACTGAAATCGGTCTTCTGGACCTGCACGGTCTGGCCAGGTGCAGTTTTCTTTGCCTGGAGTGGGGCATAGGCTCACGGGGTGTTATGTAGCGCCTGGTGAGGATCATCTCATCTTCCCCATCACCCATGGCCCTGAGGTGGCAAAACTGCTTAAAGCGGGACCTTCTGAGCCAGCCGCCAGGTTCGAGTGGCATCATGTCCAGATGCCTACTAGTGGACAGCAGGGTTAACAGGTGGGCCCTGATGCTGACGCTGTAGGTGCGGCAGCGGGCTCTGTATTCATCTGCACATAAGGCTCTCATCTTCTCCAAAAAGAGCTCATGCATGTTTTGAGCCACTACACAGTCATCAACCTGCATCCAGAGTTCCCCCGGACCGATTACTGTGGACCTGCCTACTTCTAAGAAGAAATACTGTTCGGAGTGCCCGCAGCGACGGATGCTCAGGAGCTGGACAACCACGCTCGCCACTTCGGTATTCAGCCTCACAAACACAACCTCCTCATCAGTAAGACAGAGTCGGAACACGCCGCTCAGCTCTTTTCTATGCCCCAGCCCCCTGGGTTTGACTATTACTTGCCACACATCTTTGTAGAAGGGTGGCTCCACAACCGCTGTGGCGGCCAGCACCGCGGGCTCTCTACCTGGCTGCACGCTGGGCATGCCATAGTAGCAGCGTTTGCTCTGGAGGATGAGGCGGCTGAGCAGCAAGTACCAGCTCTCTTGCTCTGACTCGTTCTCGGCTACCATAGCAAAGTACTCGTCCTGGGTGAAAAGAGCGATGAGGTGTTGGTACCTTGCATCCGCTCGCTGGCTCACCGAGAAGCACTGGTACAGGGTGATCACGCGCCGAGGTGGGATGGGCGGGGGGACCACAGCACCCGAGGCTGACGCTGGTGCTGCAGCCGCCGCTGTGCGGACACTGTGCCGGAACTTCCTGGCATTTTCATAGTATTCCAGCCGAGCTGGGGCATCTGCGGTCTCGAGTTTGAGTACGAAGTAGCGCCTGTGCCCATGCTTCTGCTTCCGCAGGTACCCACGTTTACAGACTTCCTCGCCTACGGGAAGGTCCTCCTCATCGGACTCGGAGTGTGACCGGGAGCCAGTGGTAGTGGAGAGCCACATGGCTCCCGGACAAGACAACCCGGTCCCAATGAGTGCGGTTGGGGTTCCCAAGGAAAGAAGTGGGGTGGTCGCCACCGCAGCTAGAGCTGCTGTTGTAGTCCCTGGTGCAGTTCTCAGTCTCCTCACTCGGTCTGGAACCAAGGAGCAACTCGCCATGGTGATGCACAATGGTTTTAAGGTGAGTAAAGGGTGGGGGGGGTGGTTCTGGGGAGGGAGGGCTTGGGTAGAAGAGGGCGTCTACCCTGGACCGCCCGCCCAGCCCTCCCGCCTCAGCCCTCACCCACTCCACTCCCAACACTCAGCGGAGGGCAAAACCACACGTGACCGCAGCCTCATGCGCTGGCCGCTTATGCTCCAGCTACCAGTGCAGTGGTGGGGCGCAAGCTGCAGCCAACAGAAGTATACATGGGAGGGGACGGCAGGCTTGAGAGGTGGGCCACCTCCAACCCAGCCTAGACTGTCTATGTGAATCTCCTGGCCTGTGGGTCCCCAGGGGACCTATGAGGGGAGGCAGGGCCTCTGGGCAAGCCGGCCCTAACAAGGAGTCCTCGAAGGCACAGAAGGGCGGGAGAACGCCAGGAGGGGCGGGGGAGAAAGTGACTGGTGGTCCGGTCAGGGTGGCAGCGCCACTGCCCAAGCTCTATTGGCTGCAGGATGCTAGAGGTTGTAGGAGGGAGCAGAGTGCAACCGCATAGGGCAGAGCGCAGGCAGGAGAGCTGGCACAGAAGCAGAAGGGGTGGGCAGGGCAGGGGAGAATAATGGAGGAAAATGGGGACAGCTGTAATTGAACAACAAGAAAAACAATTTTAAAAATAAATGAAATAAAAGTGAAAAAAAAAAAGAAGCAGGAGGGTTTGTTTATCTGGGAAATGGGAGCCAGGTGAAACTGTTGCAAGGTTCTCATTGGATAGGGTGGGGGACCAATGGAAGTGTCTGGCAGAAAGGCAGCCCTGAATTAATTAGTTTGGGGGGTAGGAGAGGAGTTTAGAGTGAGGGGGCGTGTCTTGGGTGGTGGTGTGAGCTCCGCCTTCTGGTTGTCGCGCATTCAGGCTGTAAACAACCCTTTCCAAGTAGCTGTTAATGGTAGTAATAAACTCGTGTAAATCCATGAGCCTCGGTGACCAGGGAACAGAACCGAGAGCCCTCTTTTTCTCCTTGTCCTTCACATAAATTCTCTATTTCCTGTCACAGTCTGGCTGCTCATGGTGAGCACCCTGTGAGTCTTGGGAGAAAGTGTGGGCATCTCCTTGGAAACGTGTTAATGACCAGGGCTTTCAGAGCTGCTGCCCACCGCACTGCAGGCACTCCTGAGCCTGCTCCAGCTCTGACAAAAGCCCGCGGCTCAAGGCATAGGCATAACAGTGATGCCTTAGAAATTAGTATAATCTTTAATCAGAGCCCATTTCAAGCCCAGGAAATGCAGGTTGGCTAAAAGATGGTGTTTCTGGCTCTTTGATTAATGGTGACTGAAAGCACAAATTTGGGGACCTGCAAAGTATACAGCCATGTTGAAAAAAAAATCAGACTCGAATCTTACTGAAAAACACCAGTGTTGAGCTGGCGTGGTATTTTCCCGCGGGAGATGCTTTGAAAGGCGCCTTTAAGAGAATTTCACAATAAGTTTTTCTTTCCTTGAGTGAAGCCGAAAAACTTTAGAAGAAAAGCTTCTACCTAGAACAAAGGATCATACCAAATACATATCATAGAATATATTTCACAACCCTCAAGTCAAGAAAAGATTTTTGCCGAATTTCAGTGTACAACTTGACACTACAAAAATAAGAACTACTGCATCCCACATTTCTGGAAAAACTGCTAGAGTGTAAGTGCAACCTCCTGAAGTGTTTCTCAGTCTTCCATTCTCTCCTCCCCTCTCTATTTGTTTTTCACTAGGATTTTTGGAAATGTGTTGATATTACATTAAAATGTCAAAGGAGTGACCACTATCACAAAGACCCAACTGGGCTCAGGGAATAGGGTGGGGTGTGAGACATGGTATTCCTTTCTAAAAGTATAAAATGTTGGTTCATCTTTGCCGTAGAGTAGATGCTGCCAAGGATATTATTTATAAAATATAAAAGTAAACTAGGCAATGTATGCATCATAAAATAAACCCCATCTCTGCCCTCTTAAGAATTTGTTCTCTGTTGGAAACAGAATCACAATAAACATATTTCAATGAATGGTTTCTTTCCAATACTCCCATTCAGTGAGAAAGAAATTGGTTTTGGTCATCCCTGAAATATTAGAAACAATCATAACATTCTCTCTGCTGCCACAGGTGTGTAAGGACAGTATATTCACAGATGCTAAAAGCAGCCATGATTTCTGAAAAAGGCTAGAGACAGAATGAATGTGGATGCAGAGGAAGCCGTGACTGGAGCTGCTGCCTACATGTTTCAGCTGTCTAGTCACATAGGTAGAAGATTCCCTACACTCATAACTAAAATGATAATGGATAAAATAATTAAAGATGTTAATAATAGATATGATATTTCACAAGTCTTTCCAAACACAAGGGTTTGCTTTTGATAGATATGTTTTAAAAACAAGGTAATGCATTTGCAAGTACTTTGAGTAAAAACATGACATTTTAAAATTTATTGAAAAACATTAAATGGTATGTTATGTAAAATTTGGAAAATACTGAAAACAATGGCTTTTAAAATCCTCAGGTTTTTATAGAATTTTTCATATAGAGTGGTAGGCTTACAATGTATATATATGATATTGCATCTTGTTCTTTTCCCTTATATAACATGTCCCCACAGTTTTACTGATGAACCTAAACATCATTTAAAATGCAGCAAAGTATTCCCAGCAGCTGTGTATTAGTGCACTTAATCATCCCTCTGCTTTGAGTTTATTCATGTTGTTTGTATTTTTTCAATATTGTAAGTAATGCTGCAATGAACATCGTGTACCTATTGCTTGTTTTAATGCTTAGAATTATTCCTTTCAGATGGGAACCAAGGGATGGAATTACTGATTTAAAGGGTATAACTATTTGATGCATTATTTTAAAAATATATTGTATCACTTTTCCCTGTCACCACACTGATGGCCAGATTGAGCATTCCTGTTTTCTAAAAATTCACTGAAAGTGTATATCAAATGGTATTCCACTGTTCTTTTCATTTGCATTTTTGCTTACTAGTGAGTTAAAAACACACACACACGTATATATATATTTGCTGACAATAGATTATCTTGTGTTTCATGTTCTTTACCTTACCTATTGAATTCTTAGTGTTATTTCTGGTTATGTGTGACTTGTTTACATAATAAAGATTTTACAACTTTTTTTTTGTTGTTGCAAGTTTTTTCCCAGTCTGTTGATTAAAAACAACACATTTAAACTTGATTATCTTCTATTTTGAAAGATGTGTAAATTTGGCAAAGTGAGGTTTGTAGTGCAGTTTAGAAGGGAGCTATTGACAAACACAAATGTCACTATGATCATTTCCAACCTTCTTTTAAACTACCATATGTTTAAGTTTATATGCTATTGTAAAGAGAAAACTTTGTTCTCATATCAGCAAACTATAAAAGTGCATCTAAACTTGTTAATGTATGTATCACTCTTAAACAATACTTTGTAAGACATTCTCTACTTTAGGGTCGACCTCTAGGACTAAATAATGTATTTTAAAAAGAAGTATGAAAATAATTTTAAACAATTTCAGTGAAGGATTAACAATGCTGGTAATTTGTACTCAAAGTTTATTATTATGCTGCAACAAAATGGAATTAGAGATGCAGTGAGATGTTTCCTAGAGGGATTTTACTTTGTATATCTCCTATAATAGAAAAGAACTGGGCAAATATTAGTACTTTAAAACAGGGAGAATGTGTAGGTAGAATAACCTTATTTTCTTTACATAGGTTAACCAAATTTCAGTTCTAAAATTTGTCCAACACTGAAGCTGGAAGATACCATCATTACTGAATTGTACCAGGTGGTACAGCTTGTCTGACATGTATTTAAACTTTAATCTTCCTGGGTAACTTAATGATATAAGTCAGGTTTCCTTGGACAAAATAAAGTGGAGGGCTCAGACAGACATCTAGATGGTGTAGGCAAAAAGTCCAGACTTTGTATCTGGGCTGAACTCACCAGAAGGTTGCTTTAATGTTCTACTCTTTGGTTATAGAGTCCTCTTAATCTTTATTTGTTTGTTTGTTTGTTTGTTTTTATGTTTAAGACAAGTTATCCCAGAAAGCTAAAGTTTTTTCCATATCTAGTTATAATTTCTGTGAAGTTTGGACTCTGAACCAAGAATCTCAAACATTTTTAAAACAACTAATTAAAAGTAATAAAACCAGCAATATTTCTTATTTGTTTGTCAGTTTAGCTGAGGGGGTGTGGGGAAAAGCATTTCAGCTGGTATTTTACACCTAGAAATTAAGGTAAATGGACAAACACAGCCACAGTGTTTTAAACCAGTTTCCATCTAATGAAGAAATATGTCTTTAAAGGGGTTTGCTTTTGAAAGGAATGTTCTGTGACTCCTGTTTTAAGAAAGCAGTTGTTTAACTAATTGAGTAGTCAGTAGTGTTACAGGGTGCAGCCAAGAGGGGGGACCCCAAATGGGCATTTGAAATGGGGTCCAGAACTTAAGGTGTCCAGGAGATTTCCCCCCTCCCACCCAGGGTGTGGGTTGGGAGAAGGAACAAATGGAGCAGGGCCATTGAGAGCTGTTTTGCATAGCAACAGTCTTGCAGCTACCCTCTGGCATGGTCATTTAACATATCTATAGCCTTTGGCTGGTCGCTTAGATATGTTAAATAGCTGTGATCATCTCTGAGCCAGGGGAATGGAAGTAACTTCCCCACCAACACGTGACTGGGGGCAGATCCCCCCCCCCCCCAAGCTACAGCGCCTGCGTGGGAGCTCGGAGAAGATTGGCTCCAGGACATGGGGCCACACCTGCCCAGACTCAAGATGGCAGCCCAGTAAAGCTGGAAGGATATGAGTTCTGGCATGTGAAGCCGAGTGTGGGAGGAGTCGGAAATGAGGCTGCAGAGGAAGACTGGCCGCGGGGATTTAAAACCCAGACTTGGCGGCCATTGGGGAGAGAACTATGCGCATCCCAGAGAGAGAGAACCACGCGGCTTTGGACAGAGTGAGGACTCTCCCTTCCCGCAGCCATAGG